TTTTCCACCCTGCAAAGGAAAGATAAACAAATACAATAGAATAAAAATATAAAACAATCTGTGCTTTGAGCATCTTCACTGTAAGAAAAACACTTTAGCTACAAATGTCTTTCAGTTAAGAGCAGTGAGGGATTTTCTCATTTTGCTGTTTGATTAATAATCATAAAAACAGGAGGCAGCAGGAACATCTTGCACTGTCACTTTAATGGTTTCTCTTTCACGTCTTTTGATTCTCAACTCGTGTTTATTACTCAAATAAAGGTTAATATGAATTATCTCAAAACACTGCGTTTTGACACCTATTTGACCATCAAAGAGCTTACATTAAGATGACTTTAGATGTGTGCGCGCTGCTTGTCTCAGAGTGTGAATGAGACAGAATGCTGACCGCATGCTTCTATGTGTGCGGCGCGCACACACAGAAGCATGAGGTCAGCATTTGGTCTCATTCGCACACTGAGCCGAGCATGCGGTCTTGCGCGCTGCTAAGTTTATAATCGTTTATCTTGATTAGTGGTTTATCATAATTGTTAGAAGCTAAAATCGAAATCGGATTTTCGATTAATTGCACAGCCCTAGTGTCGAGTTTTTTCACGGGTGTTTTTTTTTTTTTGAAAGATACAAGTAGCTAAAAACTGCGCATTTAGAGGCTTGAACCAGCGGACATCAACCAAAAGGTAAACATAAAACCAAAGTCTCTATCTGGACTCCACACTTGTAAATGCTCGCTCCACCGGGCTCGTGCCTCTCAGCACCGCCCATGATCGTCACCGGTACCAAGCCGACCAATCACAGAGCTTGTGCTTACATTTTTTAATTAAAAAAAGTGGGCTCCCCAAAGGCCATGGTATAGTTCGAACAATGCACATGGGTTTCCAGCACTGAAAGCGAATACAATTTTTGGTCCAAAGTGTGGCTTAATATTCTGACTGAGTTGTATTCTGACCAAGTGATGTTTTTTATCTTGTCTCCTTTGTGTAGGTAACACAGACAAGTGTCTATTTAATAAGTAACGCGGGGATCCCAATTTTTCCAACGGCATCAGGATACTTCAGCTGTGTTGACCTAAATGGTGGAAGTGCATTTGAGGTAATGGGCGATGAGGCAGTTGGGCCACTGCCTAGCCCAGTGCCAATTCCCTCTAACCCAAATCCTGGTCGACCACGATTTAGTTTTTCAAGATCTGCCACTGCAACAACAGCTGCACGCACAGTTAGTCCTGCAGTTAACGTTAGCCCAAAGGTTTATCAGAGGTAGGTTAAAGACAGTTTCTTTTAGCAGATATAAATTGGTCCATGTTGATAAAATTTTGATGCAGTGAAATAAGTCAACTTTTTTGTTTAACAAATTTGTTTTTTTAAGTTATAAAACAATGTGGGTTTAAACAGGTTGACCACAGGGTATTAAAAAGTTGCTAAATCAAATTGGAGAAATTCAAGACCCTTAAAGAGTATTAGAAATCTTAAATATTATTTTACACTAAATTATATTTTGTATCTTTTTTAATTATACAATATACAGTGCTTAGCATATTTACGAACACCCTCACAGATCCCTCTTAAATTAATATTTGTATTATGAAGCTGTACAACATTATATTTGTGCATATACATTAGATTAGTCAGTACTGAAGCCAAATCTGCACCTTATCTAACAAAATAACTCATGATAACGGTCCAAAAACAAATACAGCCAAATTTGTATGTTGTAGAAGAATATTTTAAATAAAAAAGGAAAAATCAAGAGAAGCAATTCAATATATATTTGCTTACATTTAATACAATTTAATATTTTAGTTTTTCAATTTCTAAATATCTTTGGTCACTTGTAACAGGAGAACAAAGGTGAACAAGGCTAGAGTCTAACAAGGAGAAAAAAGACAGGGAGGAACGCGTTGTAAAGTAACTGAAACAGCTAACAAGACTTGGCAAACTGGATGAGTAAAGGAGTGTCTTATGTAGGGTGTGTAATCAGTCTCTGACAAGGCTCAGCTGATGAGAATGTAATCAATCTTGATGAGTGAGCATGTGTGAGTAACAGGAGAGCATGTATGAACAGTGTTGTGCAAGTTACTTACAAACTGTAATACATTACAGATTACTTATTACTGTTATTTAAATGTAATGCCTTACCTTACAATATTACTGTCTCAGAATTGTAATATGTTACATTACTCTTATATTACTTTTAAGTTACTTTCACCAAAATAACTATAGAATTAGAACTTAACATTATACAATTCTATAATGTTCTATAATGAGCATTTTACATCCAGTAGAAAGTGATTTGATGTAGCAGAATGACTGTGACCTCTCCAGGCTACTAACAATATAGTATATAATTGGCAATGTGATGGCTCAAGACAATGCAAGAAAGGATGACAGCCAGAATTACAAATGATCTGTTAAAAGTATGGTAGAGGTAAAGTGATTATCTGGCAATATCTGTGAATGGCTTGGTTATATTCACATTAGACACAACAGGCCGATATGTAAACTCCATAACAAAATGCAGATTTAGTTTCTTTTCTTATTGTTGCCATTATTGTATTTACTTTACATTCAAGTGGTTTACAACACAAAACCGTCCTGCACAAAGTGAGCATGATGAACCGCTTTCTCAGTATAATGTTTGTGCACCGATTTCCTGTTTGTGGACAAAACTTCTTGCGAGCTCTCACATACGCTGCTCGCGCACAAATTCTCACAATCTCTTAAATATACTCACAATTTGTGTCTTATGTTCCCTCTTCCTTTCAAGCTTTTTGATATGAATCATATTAGTACACTATTTATTAACAATAACCAAAATACTAAAATAGACTTTTAATTTTTAATCTAATAAACCATAACATTGTTGGCTGTATGTTATATGATTTCAAATAAAAAAGCATTTAGACAAAAATAAAAATTAACGCAAGCAGAAATGTAACTAATAGAAACACTTTATAAGGTATTATAGCCTACTGTACTATTCACTCTTCAAATAAATCTCACTATCAATCACATTTTTTTATTTTTCCCTGCCATCCTCTTCATTTTGAGAAGAAGCTGTTCCACAGGGCCCCTAAACACACATATTGTCATTAAGTACTTTAATTACTCTGTTGTGGTAATACTATAGCTGCTATGGTAACACAACAAGTGTAAAATAAACAAATGATCCAGTGCTGTATTTTTTTAAAAATATGGGGTAGATTGTACTACAATTCACCACACTTTACTGTAGTAAAACTACACTTTATATTTAATTTTATGAGTTCACTATTCTTAATACGACAGTATGCTTAAGCATTCATTGTAAATACTATAGCCTAAAACATAGGCAGTATACCTTACAATCAAAAACACTAGTATTTATTATAGAATTTATCTTAACCTGTAAGTAAATAGTGTAGCACTATATAAACCATATAAAAATTTTTGGGAAACAATTAAATAGGAGGATCTCTGGAGAGCAACAGAACGAAAGGAAGAGGAAACAAAAGGCACAGATTGTGAGTCTGCATCATCTGACGGAGCGAGAGCAGGTCGTTAGCATGTGAGCAGCCCAGCCAGTGTTGAGTGAACCCGAGGAGTTTTGTCCACAGAGGAAACCGGCCTGTTCACTCGCTCGTATTACATGAATGAGCTTACGACATTTCTCAGTGAAATAACGCCATATGCACTTACGTCCGTCTCGCGAATGCACTGTCATATGCCATTTTCATCCATTTGCTGATTTTCCGCTACGCGTACTGCGAACCGGGCTGAGCCAATAGCCCCGGACCTTGAGCTTAGAAGCTGAAATCATTCCGCGTTCAAAGTAAAAAGGTCCCATAGCCAGAGGGAGATTAATGACAGCACGCGCATATATTCTCTAGCCACGAACAGGAAATAGAACTGCAGTATTTTTTATTTGTTAATGTCTTGCGGGCGAAAAGTGTGTTGTAACGCACGCGTTACTGAACATGTACCGAGTAAAATATTACTGAAAATTTATTAGTAATGCCTTACACTACTGCGTTACAGGACAATGTAATACATTACTGTAATACATTACTTTTGTAACGCATTACTCCCAACACTGTGTATGAAGATGTAGTACAGGGGAAGGCTGAAGTGTAGTCCTTGGTGTTCGTGTGAGAACCAGCGATCTCTGGAGAGCGATCGCTGGTTATGTGACATAGCCCCCCCTCTAGAGTGGATTCCAGACAATCCAATTCTGTTCAGGCGGGAGGCCGAGCGGAGGCGGAACAGGGGGAGGACCTGGAGTAATGCGGGTCAAGCCGGCAGAGCTGGAGGCTTGTGGGGAGCTGGCAGAGCGAGCCATCTGGGTGGCGCCGGCAGGGCGAGTAGTCTGGCTAGGATCGCCAAGGCGAGGAGCTGTGGCCGTTCGGGAAGCTTAGGAGGCGGCGGCCCTTCGGGAAGCTCAGGCGGCAGCGACTCTGGCAGCGGCGTCGACTCTAGCTGCGGCGTCAACTCTGGCTAGGGCACTGGCTGCGGCGGATACTCTGGCTGAGGCGCTGGTTGCGGCGGCGACTCTGGCTGCGGCGTCGACTCTGGCTGAGGCGCTGGCTGAGGCGTCGACTCTTAAAATGTTACCAGTGAAACCTAAAGTGACCTAATGGGGACTTAATGTATGGAAAGTCTTAAAGATATTGAAATGTACTTTAATTGCTCTATTTAACCTGTTAAAATAACTACTTTTGATGGGTACATTGTGCTTTTGTGTGTTTTCACAGAACTATTTTCCTTGGTCAGCTGGAGGGGGAAAAATTGTGCAGGAAAAGGAATTGATTATTCCCTTTGAGAAAACTGACGCCTGTTTATCTGCCATGAAACTAAAAGTGAAGGAACCCTGGCATAAGAGGTGTGTTTTGGAGAAGATATTGAATTAATATATTTTTAATTACTTAAAGGTGCAGTAGGTGATTGTCTTCAGAAACATTTTTTGTTGTGCTGGTTGAAAGTCTCTTTACATTCCGATAAGATTATTGATTATAGTAAATGATCTAAATGTATTTTTATGTATTTTTATATTCTGCGTAAGGCATAAGACTAAAAAATGTTCAACCAATTAAATATTGTTCGGCCGATGTCTCCCAAAATTCCGATAAGTAGCTCAAACTGTCTGTCAGCAATTGTAGATTTGAACTAATGCGCAGCTGTTTACACATACACCCACTGCGGATTCATGAGAGAGAAAAAGCGCGAGTGGTAAAAACATGCATAATCAACTTTTTAAACTTCTGAATTAATATTGGAGTTAGTTTTGCACGCTGGTGGAAGGATGACCCCATGGCTGAAGTATTTCTGTTATACATTTTCTGTTTTAAAACTATTTTAGCTTACAAAGCTGATGTAGATGTTTTGTTACAAATTATATTTTTTATATGCTCAGACGTGTCGTTCAGCCACTGAAATCTCCTGGAGAACAATTGATGTGACTATTTTCAGTTTCATAAGGGACATTTTACAGCATCGATAATGTAGATTTAAACTTAGTTTAACAACAGTAAATGGCACTATTCCACCAAGCCTGCTTTACTGAGCTGAAGTTGCTTTATTCACATCGGTTCATTTTTGAACAGTGACAACCTGACATGCTTATATTGTTTATCATGCTACTCTGACTATTCAGTCTGAACAGCAAGCAAGTATGGCTTGGTAATGAGTGTAAGACCTGCATGCCGCCGACCAACCACTATTCCCTGAGTGAGGGTTCTGCTGTCATCTTTAAGGTGGGGTGTGTTTCAGAGATTTATGCTAGCTGGTTAGCATTGTACCTTTAAGTTCACCCCTGCTTGTTAATAATGCTGTCATTCTGAATTTCACAACTTTATTATTTTTCCCACTAACACAGGTTCGTCTTATTGGAAACAGAACTCTACGCGAATCTTTGCAATGACTGAGTGGGACAAGTATTTGTAGAGATGGGAAGAAGAAAACGAAGAAAACTAGGGTAGAATCATGAATAATCTTTAAACTTTTCATTAATGTTCAGGCAATTTATGGAAAATCTTTAGTGGATTTTATATTGCATTCTATATCCATTCAAATTATTTTAAATAACCCCACCATCATGCTAGTGTTTTTACTAGATTTATCTTTCAAAAGATATGTTGTCATATTCAAAACCAACACTGTGTCTGGTAAAAAAAATAAATAAATTAAATAGTCATAGTTTATTACTGTTTTATTATTGTCAGTGTTTTAGTTTGGCCAGGTCTGATGGGACATTTAGTTTACAGTACAACTATGTTTTGTAAAGTTACTAACAACCTTGAAATTTTTAAACTCCCTTATTTTTAACATCTGCTTGAGATTAAAACACTTATTTGTCAGCTTCATACATTTTTGTCTTAAACAATTAACCTTTGGTTAGTTGTTGTGGGAAGAAGAAGAGAGGGTCGGCGATTCAGGTAAGCAAACTGATTTATTATTGTTTTAAATGCCACCACACATGTAGCAGGCTGTGTGCGTGTGCTCTCACCTCTCCCGACTGCTCCTCCCGTTCTCCTTAAGAAGGGAGTGTCTCCGGCCCAATCACTAGAAAGACAGGTGTTATTTATCATTTTTGATTGACCTGCTGATTAGCTGCCGGGCTCAGAGTATGCTCTCCCCCCTTATTGGGTGCTCGATTATGCTCACCTCTCCACATACCCCTACCGCCCGCCTCAGGCCAGGGAGCCGTCCGGCCTGCTGCACCCCAGGGTCTCGGACAGGTTGCAATAGCTGCAGTCTTATCAATTTGTGGCTGCACCTGCTCGTGACCTAAGTGGAAGCCCAGATACCTTACCTCCACTCACCCAATTGCGCACTTCCGTGGGTTGGCCATGAGCCCAGCCCGTCTCAGTGTGGACAATACCACCCTCAGATGTTGCATATGCTGCTGCCAGTCATTACTGTAAATGATGATGTAATCTAAATAAGCAGCGGCATATGCTGCGTGAGGGCAGAGTATTTTATCCATCAGGCGCTGAAACGTCACCAGTGCCCGAACAGCCCGAACGGAAGCGCCACAAATTGGTGTAATCTGGATGGCATAGTGAAGGCATTTTTTTCGCGGAATATTGGAGATAAGGGGATCTGCCAATATCCCTTTGTTAAATCCAATGTCGAGTAATACCGAGCACCCCCTAACTGGTTGAGCAACTCGTCAATACGCGGCATTGGATAAGCATTGAATTTCAACCCAGCATTTACCTTGCGATAATCCACACAGAACCGGACCGAGCCGTCCGTCTTGGGTACCAAGAAAATCGGGCTGGCGCAGTCGCTGTGGGATTCTTCTACTACTCCCATTTTCAACATATTACTCAATTCTTTTTGAATCACATTTTTCTTGTGTTCAAGTAGGCGATACGGCTGGGTCCTAACGACCACGCCCGGTTCAGTCTCGATATGGTGCTGAATCAGGTTAGCATGACCGGGAAGGGGCGAAAACACGTCAGAGTACTCACTTTGGTGCTGGATGTCGAGGAGCTGGCTCGCTGAGAGATGATTGCCCCCCGTAACCAGAGCGCTCGGACCTTCCCGGCCGGGGCTCTCCGGCCCCAGGTCATCCTCGTTAGTAACAAGCGTAGCCAACACCACGTCCTCCAGCTCCCTCCACTGCTTCAGCAGATTAATGTGATAGATCTGATGTAAATCAGCCGTATCTGAACAAACCACTTCGTAATCGAGATCACCGACTCGTCGTGTGACCACAAATGGCCCTTGCCACTTGGCGAGTAATTTAGAGCTGGAAGTGGATAGCAGTACAAGGACTTTATCTCCCTGTAAAAATTTACGTAGTTTAGTGCCCTTATCATAACGGCGGCGTTGGTCATCCTGGGCCTTAAGCAAATTCTCTGTAGAGACCCGCCCAAGTGTGTGGAGTTTTGCTCTAAGGTCCAGAATATACTGAATTTCATTTTTACTATTAGAAGGCTCATCCTCTTAAGCCTCTCTTACGACATCCAAAACCCCTCTGGGCTGTCTGCCATAGAGAAGCTCGAAGGGGGAAAACCCCGTGGAGGCTTGGAGAACCTCCCGCACAGCGAATAATAAGGGCTCCTACCACTTATCTTAATTTTTCGCGTCCTTGTGAACAAATTTACGGATCATTGATTTAAGCGTGCAATTAAACCTTTCCACCAGCCTGTCTGTTTGTGGTGATAGACGCTGGCGCGAATAGATTTAACGCCCAATAATCTGTAAAGTTCGCACATTGTGCGTGACATGAATGCGGTGCCTTCATCAGCGAGAATCTCCTTGGAGATTCCCACTCGGGAGATTATACGACACAGGGCTTCCGCTACACTCTTCGCTGAGATGTTATGTTGTTGCAGGCTGGATCTCCTGGGTCAGCAGACTCCGGATTACCTTGTGGTCCTCCCGCTGGGCCTCCATAAGGACTTGAGAATAATGAGAATAATATAATTAACCACGCCCCTCAAACTGTCAGTGTTCATTTCTGAATGAAGTGGCTATTTTACTACATCCAATTAAGTTTAGGAAAAAAGAAAATAATCTAAAACAAAAAAGACGTGCCCTGTGCAGTTTTCTAATTCAATATTCTATTTCTCTTAGAGTTGTCAAAATACAGAAGTAAAATTGGTCTCAAAGTTTTGATTTGTGCAGACATTAATCTGATTAATAACAAACAGCCTACTACATAAAATGGAGCAATATTGAGGCATAGCAGCATTATGAAATATGGCAGCATAATGGCAGTATGTCAATATATTGATGAGATGCTGATGGAAATGTACTTGTATAGCACAGTAACCAATGGGACAATTATTTATTCTCTTAAACTGCTGGTTTTCACCAAAATAAAATTTTTTAAATTGGTAACAAAACTGTTGGGTCAGTCATTGCATTGACATTGGTTCTTGTCCATACTGTGTTTTTTGGTTGACATTATTTGAATTACCATATTTTCATTCAAGTATCATATGGACACGGCTTAATTTGTGCTGGAACAAGCCAGATCCGGATCCGGCACCACATTTTACCAATCCCTCTCCTCACACGGACGGACCTCAGCACCCCTGCTTTGCCTCATTGCTCTAATTTTTTTTGTCTGTGAATGGCTTAAAGAACTTAAGGCTCTCATGAGGTCCAATTGTAGCCAAAGTGTGCCTTAAAGCTGGTGTCCAAACTCAATCAGACACTGGTAGGCTAGCAAATCAAGCTCTTACTAGGGTTTCTAGAAACATCCTGACAGATGTATTGAGGCAAGTTGGTGTTTAAATCAGCTGGACACCAGCCCTCCAGGACAGAGTTTGGACACCCCTGCTTTAATGCATACTTTGGCTACAATTATGACCTCACAAGAGCCTTGAGTTCTTTAAGCCATTCACAGAAAAAAAATTAAAACTATTGTTGTTTTTAGAACCTGTCAATAATTATATTTATTTTTCTGTAAAAGGCAAACTTCACAACATGATGACTCTGGGCTCTGTGATGTAAAAGAGAAAATTGAGGAGCTTCTACTAGCATTTGAAGGTCTACCTGCCATGTCAGCTAAACTGAGAGAGCTGTGCAAATGCCTCACAGAACGGCAAAGTGAGGTTCTGAGAACATCGTTCAAGTGCTGTGTGTTCAGAGGTAATTACCTAGGCAACATGCTGACATGTACAATATGTTCATTAAAAGGACCATAGTTCACATGTAACAAATTATAAAACTTTCCCTGAAGGGAGCCCTGGATATTAAAAATTGTGGCATAATTTCAATAGTTTCTTACTAAAATATGTAGTAAAATCACCCATTAAATATTTACATTAAGCTATTATTAAGCTGAGAAACATTTACATTATTCTAAAGCCATAGCTGTTGGTTGAACCTCCAATTCAGGATCATTTATGTATTGTCGCTTAGTGTAAATAACAACATTTTGAACAGCACAGTGATCTGCTGAGGGTTAAAGTCATGTACTATAAATTCGGCTTTACTGATAATGCAACTGATGGCTTGTGCTGCATAAAATAGTTATGTTAGAGAGACTTAGTAGAAATCTACACGGGTGTAATAGCACTCAAAAAGATTATAAATGCACACTGCAGAAAAAGTATGATTTAGGTTCATTGCATTGCATGACAATATTATTCCCTAAATTCAAACTGCTCTGCAATGTTACACTATATACAATGATAGTTTAATATACAATTTTTTTTTAGTACACCTGCTGTTTTATTATAAAATTTCAGCCTTAGTGTCATTAGTGACCATCAGTATGAAGTATTATGAGCAGGGCCGGCTTACAAGGCCTAGGTCGGGCTGAAGCCACAGGGCCCACAGAAGGGAGGCCCTTGATTAAATGACAAATTAATTTGTGTCATGATGCAGGAAACTCCTTTTTTCTTTAGTTTATGCTTTCACATGCAGATATTGTGAAGTATTTGTTTTGGCTCGTTAGTGTTAAAAAAAAAACTGTGAGGCCGCTAAACTGTGGCTCAGAGTGGCTGTAGCCCAATCTGTATTTTGAGTAGCCCTGATTTAGTCCCTTATTTCGGCTCTACTGCAAAAACAGTCCAGTCAAAGATAGGCTAGCCCAATGCATCATAGAACAAGAAATAAATTGTATCTGGTATTCAGATAGTTAGGTGAATGGACTTATAACTGAAGCGATGTCAGTTCCATTCTTCTCAAATAATATAACCAAGACTTTGTGCATCCAAATAAAATAGCCTACACAATCGGTTATTAAAATGTCCATCATTGCAGAGTGTCTATTTTAAGAATACATAAAAGGCTATCTAAACCAGTTAGAAAGCAAACTTTAGGAATATTTACTTTATAAAAATAACAGTAATAATCCTAAACAATTGAATATTGGTGCAAGCTTTCATCTGACATTTCATCTGCCAAAAAAAAAAAAAAATGCTAACCTTCTGAAATTGATTGACTCAAGACCAAAATTTTGGGAAATTGCAACCAGGGATTTTAAATGTTTACCTGAAAGTTCTGCTTAGATACATTTTAAAGTAAACATTTTAAACCCTATTTAAAGTATTGTAAAGCACTCGTTAGAATGTATTGCAGGTGTTTTTGTTTTTGCTGAATTTGGCAGCCTGAATAAAGTTCATGTTACGAGATTAATTTTATAGGCTTTACGCTAACTTTAGTAAAATAGAAAACATTAATAATAATCAAATGCAGTATAAATCAAATAGTGGAAAATTAGATGAAAATATCAATAAGCAAAAAATTAATAGCAAAGAAAAAAACTACTTTTGTGAGCCAATAAAATAAATTAGGGTCCTTGGGTTTGCTATAACCCCAGGGCTCAATGTGTTCTTAATCCAGCCCTGACCATAAGAGCTGTGTGAAGTATGTACCCGAAATATGTAAAGTTCCAGTTTAATGATATATTTTTCTATGTGTGTTTGTTATAGGAGTGATGGACAGTCCTGTCTCGGTGCTGTTGTAGCCTTATTGGCTGTCGACAATGCATAGAGGCAGTAGTGGACGAGGGCTAAGCCTGTATAAAATGCAGGTCTGCAGTGTCAAGAGATTTTATTGTGGTTGTGGCTGGCTTGTCTGAGGTCCTGAGTATCATTAAGGCCTTAGACAAGCAGTACAACTCCTGTTGAAGCTGTCAACTGAACCCTCCAAGCTGATGTCTGGGTCTGGCAAGAGCACATTTTGATTAGAAGGAATCATTTAATTCGGTTTGGCCATTTGCATTTTTTTAATGCTTTTCCTATTAAAAGCTTGACTCTTCTGTTGTGACATTGTGTTCTAGATGGGAACTTTTCATTTTGTCAATCTTGTAGTCTGATATGGCTAGGATCTGTAGTCTTCTTTCAGTGTAATCAAGGAACTTTGCTGCTGTTCCATGATTGTAACAGGTGTAATATTACGCAATGCTGTTACCTAGCTGGGAACAATTTTTAAGTGCTGTATGTTTCTTTTGCTACAGCCATGGTATGGCAGCAAAATACTTTCAAAATTAAGCTGGAATGTGTATAGAACCTAGCCATATCAGCCTAGAAAAAAAACTACCATGTGATGACATATGTCAAACTCTAAATGGGAAAGTCAGAACTTTTTTTTAATTAGCAAGATGCTATTGCAATAATCTATGCTAAGCTAAAGCCAACTCCCCCACCCCCCTTATTTAAAATGTTTTGTATTAGTTTGTATGCATGTTTATATGCAGTTTACACAATACAGTACGTTAGTGTTATTACTACCTTTTTCATACATTTTGTGATTCAAAGACAATGTTTTAAACATTCTGTTGGCATGTTTGAGAATAAAAAAAACTTTCATTGAATTTGTCATTAGCAGTTTGTTTTGCTTAATGCTCAATTCATTTGCAGTATGCTTAAATACAAATCAGTCTATCTCAAATCATTTTTTGCAGAATATTTATTCTAATTGAACTACTGTAGTTACTATAACTGCTGGTTTCGCAATTTATACAGTGCATGCTACAGTAGACTACACCATATGTATTACAGTAGTAAAAAAAGATATACAATAACATTTATTTTTGCACCTCTCCGGGTGATATCTGTGCACTTCTTCTGGTGATGTTAATGAGGTGAAGTAAACAGTCTTGGAACAAGTGGCAATGCTCATTTACAGTGTAGTTCAAGATGTCTCCAAGGTCAAAATAAAGGGAATTAAATTCTGTCTCTGCCCTAATTTTATCCTCCTCAGACCGAAATGGGTCAATGCCAAATGCTGACGAACTGGTCAAACGCTGTCCTATTTCCTGATGGTACAGCTCAGCAGCTTCTGAAGCCCTCTGCAAAAGTTCCTCGACAATCCTTGTTTTGCAGCCAGCAGATTGTGTATGCCTTTACCTAGAAATTAAAGGTTTAGTTTTGAGGTAAAAAAATAAAAAAATAAAAATAAACTATTGATTTTACATTAAAGCAAACCCTGGTTTACTCTTAATTCACCCTGGTCATAGATACCTACTGTTCCTGTAAATATTCTCCTGAAGGATTAGATTTAAAGATAAACAACAGGAAGTGGTCTTACAGGATATTACATGCATGTATATGGGTAGTTATATGTGTGGTGTCAAGTCATAGGTGGATTTACAGCAAAAATGTAGAAAAGATCATCAACTTTTGGTCTAAACAAATGTTAAAGCACTGTAACATACCTGTATTATAATAACTGTTCTGTGCATTAACAAATCTCTGCACTCCAATCTGGCTGATCTGGCATGTAAGGTTGGACAAACAGTATCTTGTCAACCCATCCTCCATATCCAAAGACTCCTGGTCAACCATCTGAATGAGTGCTTTCTTGATTGGAAAAATGACCCGCTTATTAACTTCAGGCCACATTCTCTCTACAGTGTGGTTCTGTGGAGTAAAAGCAATGTAAACTATGTAAAAATGTTACACAGGATAAAATTGTCAGTTAAATGATTTAACAAGTATTGGGAAAAACTTATTACAATATTTTAATAATTGATACAGTAGACAAACATATCTATTTTGGTTTGGCATACATGGTAACATTGTTTTTTTATATGTTGTTGCAGCCTAACTGTTTTTCCTCATTTCTTTTTTAAGGTTACAATTTGTCTCCTAATGTCTATGTGCTACCTAACACCTTTGTGATTCATTAAAAGGTATTTAACATGATGAATAGCCTTAGTTCTGAGAGTGCAACTTATTATAAATAGGCTATTTATGCATCTAGGGCTTAAGTTGTAATAACTGTTGTATCTATGTACAACTGTACTTTATTCAGTAGTTCAAAAGTGTAGATAGAAAAAAAAAAACACCAGGTATTTTATTTCAAATTTGTTGATGTTGTTTGGAGGTAAGGCAGTCTGCTGGTTATGTCTGTGTTCTGCCATTTCCTGCATGATGAGGATTAGGAAAAATTCTCTGCCATGGTCCACCCTGACCTGATCCCACATCCCATGGGAAATGACAGCATTTCTATATATATATATAAAACCCTGGAGCCAGCCCTGGGGTAGGGGCTTGTATGAGCGCCTTGTGGCCGGATTTTTATCCCATGGAACTCGGCCGGGCTTAGCCTGAAGGAGCGATGTGGGACCATCCTCCCGCAGGCCCACCACCTGCAGGGGGAGCCGTAAGGGGCCTATGCATTGTGGAACGGGTGGTGTTTGAAGGTTAGGACCACGACAACCCGATCGTCAGGCACAGAAACGGGCTCTTGGGACATGGAATGTCACCTCACTGGGAGGGAAGGAGCCCGAGCTTGTGCAGATAGTGGAATGGTACCAACAAGAGATAGTTGGGCTCACCTCCACACACAGCTTGGGCTCTGGAACTCAACTTCTTGAGAAGGGCTGGACTTTCTTCTACTCTGGATTTGGTCACAGCAAGAAGCGGCGGGCTGGTGTGGGCTTGCTTATAGCTCCCCAACTTAGCCGCCATGTGTTAGAGTTTTCCCTGGTAAATGAGAGGGTCGCCTCCCATTTGCCTTCGGGTCAGGGATAGGTCTCTAAATGTGGTATGTGCCTACGGGCCAAACACCAGTGCAGAGTACCTGGACTTTTTGGAGTCCTTGGGAGGGGTGCGGGAAGGTGCCCAGACTGAGGACTCCATTGTTCTACTGGGGGACTTCAATGCTCAGATGGGTAATGACAGTGATACCTGGAGAGGCGGGATTGGGAGGAACGTCCTCTCTGATCTGAACCCGAGTGGTGTTTTGTTATTGGACTTCTTTGCTAATCACAGTTTGTCCATAACGAACACAATGTTCAAGCATAAGGGTGTCCATCCATGCAGATGCCACCAGGACACCCTAGGGCAGAGGTCAATGATCAACTTTGTGGTTGCATCATCTGATCTCCGACTGTATGTCTTGGACACTCGGGTAAAGAGAGAGGCAGAGCTGTCAACTGATCACCACCTTGTATTGAGTTGGATCCGCTGGCAAGGGGGAAAGCTGGACAGACCTGGAAGGCCAAAATGAGTTAACTTCGAAGGGTGGCAGGGCGCACTCTTATGGATGGGGTAAGGAGCTCTGACACCCGGGAGGAGCTCAGAGTACAGTCGCTGCTCCTCCACATCGAGAGAAGTCAGCTGAGGTGGCTCAGGCATCTGTTTCGGGTGCCTCCTGTCACAGTTGCAGGTTTGTGCCCTTCTCCGGAGTGTATGTTTGATCACGTGGGTTTGTTTTGTTTTGGTTGTCCATGTGGAATTGTTAGGCTCACGTGTTATGACGACACTCAGTTGGTCTGATTAGTTCGCCAGCTGAGGCTCATCATGGTGCCTATATCTGGGCGACGCTTTTATGTGTCTGTGTCAGTTCGTTACTATCACTCATGTTTGTGTGTCTGTGCTCAGGCCCTGAGGAGTTATCTGGATCTGGTTTCCCCGTTCTGTTTCCTGCCCTGTGTTCTGCGTCCTTCTAGCCTGGCACTATTTGTCTTATTGTCATATACAATAAACTTGTTCACTTGCATTTGGATCCTCTCTGACTTTCTTTGAAACGTAACAGAACGAACTGACCTTTACATGGATCCAGCGAGTGTTTCCCAGATCTCCGAATTTGTCTCTCAAAGCAACGCTCGGATTGATCGACAGGATGAGGCCCTGGCCACCACGGCTCAGGCGATCCAGGCCCTGGTTGGCCAAGTTTCATTGCTCACATCCCAGGTCCAACAACTGGTTACTCGTGCTGCACAGGCTGATACTGCACCGGCCCCCGAGACTGCACCGACCCCGGAAGTGTCACCAGCGCCTGCGGTTCTTGGTCGCTCTGTTGAGCCGCGTCTTCCACCTCTGACCAGCTACTCTGGAGAGCCTCTCTTGTGCCGATCCTTCCTGTCTAAGTGTTCCCTTTACATCTCGCTGCAGCCGTCATTATTTTCCTCCGAACAATCTAAGGTGGCGTTTGGGGAACAACAGCTTTGGAACAAAAGCTACTCTACGTACTCTACTCTGCTGCTCTACGTTTGACCTGTTCTCCAAAGAACTTAAGAAGGTCTTTGATCGAGCCACTTCCGGGAGAGAGGCTGCCTGAGTCCTCGCTGAACTCCGCCAGGGGAATCGAAGCGTGGCGGAGTACTCGATTGAGTTCCGAACAATGGCCGCTGAATGCGGCTGGAACGCGGAGGCACAATGGGACATGTTTCTGCACAGATTGTCTGATAGTCTGCAAGATGCGATCTATTCCTTAGATCTTCCTAAGACTCTGGACGAGCTGGTGGATTTAGCCATCCGTGTGGACACCAGACTGCTTCGGCGTGAGACTCGCCTGCAGCAGAGCAGATTTTCGGATTCCGTTCCTGACTTTCCGGCATTAACTGCGACACCGGAAGGGGTAAGCACTGACCCGGAACCCATGCAGCTGGGGAGATCCCGCTTGTTCGTGCAAGAAAAGCGCCGACGGAGAACAGGGGGACTCTGCCTCTACTGCGGAGGGGCGGGTCATCGGGTGGCTTCCTGTCCCGTTAAAGACAACACCCATCAGTAGGTAAGGGGTTACTGATGGGTTAAATTAATTTGCACAAATCCTCTATGGCTGCCACTTTATTGCCCTTCACTGTATCATGAGGTTCCGGAAGTCATGACACCCATGCCCTCGTCGATTCCGGGGCGGAGTGAAATTTCATTGACTCCAGTTTCGCTTTCAGTTCTAAATTTATAGTTATATAAAGTTATAGCTTTGTCACAACCCAATGCAGTACGCGCCCTCAGTGGGCTTTCCCTTCCCACTATCACTCACTCCACCAAACCCATAAAACTTATCACGTCTGGAAATCATATTGAACACATTTCATTTTTTTTAACAGACTGTTCCAACTCACCGGTGGTTTTAGGACATCCATGGTTAATTCTTCATAAACCTCACATTAATTGGGGTCTTAATTCCATATTTTCGTGGAGTGAGAAATGTCATGAATCTTGTCTTTCGTCTGCTCGTTCTGTTGTTTCGTGTTCTGTGTTTCAGGAGGAGCGCATGGACCTGTCAAACGTGCCCAGTGAGTACCTCGACCTGGAGAGAGTGTTCAGTAAGTCTTGAGCTGCTTCTCTGCCTCCTCATCGTCCATATGACTGTGCAATAGACTTATTGCCAGGTACGTCTCCGCCTAAAGGCAAGTTATACTCTCTTTCCATTCCTGAGAGTGAGGCCATGGAGAAATATATTTCTGATTCTCTAGCGGCCAAGATCATACGGCCCTCTTCCTCTCCGGCGGGGGCGGGGTTCTTTTTCGTGAAAAAGAAGGATGGGTCTCTTAGACCTTGCATAGACTATCGAGGGCTGAACAGCATCACGGTGAAGAATACGTATCCTTTGCCGCTGATGTCTTCA